ATTTCTGAAATTATTCATTTGATATATATATATATATATATATATATATATATATATATATATATACATATATATGTTTGAAAGTAGCTAGTCCTCTGGGAAGTGTAACAAGCATTAATCCATAAGTGATCGACGCTGGTTCCCCTGGCTCTCTTCGGAAGTGTGTCACTTCCTTTCCCAAAAAGCTTATTTTCTTCGAATTATACCTCTTGGAATGTCTATTTTTCAATTCACACGTATATATTTATACACTGGAAGATAAGCATCTGAAGAAATATAATTCGAAGAAAAATGAGTCCTTTGAGAGACTGAAACAATTTTATTTCGTTAAAAGTGCCCTGAGGAAGAACCAGATACAAGTGGCGCACAAACCTACGACTACACTACGCAACTAGCTTGTGCACCCTAAGGATAGGGTAGGCTAGCTGGATAGAAAATAAGCCATTAATAAGATTTCATGTGGTACCTTTAATACAGTATATTGTGATCGAACCGGAAAATCTGCCTCCACACGCCTACATGAACATCAATTGGCAGAAAGGTGGCGAGACCGATTATCCCAAGTAGCCGTGCATACACTAGAAACGGGGCACAGGTTTGCTTGGAATAAATCACGCATTGTCGATTTCTGACCATTTAAGGCCGAGAATTTCTGGAGACCATTCACTCTAATGATTCTTGAACCACTCATCACCACCTCGATCAGAATGCCATGTACACCAATCTCAAAGGACAACGGAAAGGGCGATAGCCAATCAAAACGTGATGTCAGCCTACAGCATCGACCCATTGGCAGCACTGACGAAACGATATCGATTTTTCAGGCATTTTCAAATTTTAATTGTCTTCCACCCTTTCTACATGTCTGTCGACGACCTGGGGGACCAGCGTCAAACCTTTACGACAAAAGCTTATTTAATCTTCTAAAGGAATCATTTTTCTTCGAAGTATATAAATATGCGTACATTTCGAAGGAAATATGTCCTTTAGGAAGGATGACAAAGTTTATTTTGTAAATTTTTGACTCTGGTCCTCCAGGTCGCCCTCAGACGCGAAGTTAAAATTTAACCATGTCTAAAAATCGATATTTTTCTGTCACTCCTGCTAGTCAGCCTGTACTATAGGTTGGCATCACGTTTTGATTGACTATCACATCTTCCATTTTGTCTTTGAGGTTGTTGTACACGACACCTAATTCAATGTGATGGTTGATGCACGGGTTGTCAGAATGTATGGCTCCAAAAATGTACAGTCTTTCTTGGATGGACAGAAGCCTATACTACGAGTCTTGCTCCAGGCAAACTTGTGGCAACTTGGGACAAGTGGTGTCTTCTTTTTACTGCCAACTGGTGTTCGTGTAAGCGTGAAGCGGCGGATTTTTCCGTTCGGCCGCAGTAAACAGCATTACAGGTGCCACATGGCATCTTGTTGACGGATTCATTCTTTTCTAAATAGCCAACCCTATCTTTAGGGCGTGCAAGCTGGTGGCGAAGTGTAGGCATGTTTAAATTTCAACTGTTGTGCACACTTGCTTCACGTCTGAGGACGACCTGGGGAACCAGTGTCTAAAATTTACGAAATAGACTTTGTCATATTTCCGAAAGAACTTATTTCCTCCGAATTATACTTCTTGGAATGCCCGTTTTCTAAATCATATGTATGGGATTGATGGCATGCCCCGTAAACAGGCGTTAGAAGTCTGCCTATGATGACCTATGCGTATGCGCCACATACTGACCTCCTAGGGAACATCATTCCTTAGCAGTTGTTTCGAGGGAACTACTTAATTTCATCATGGAGTATAAAATGGTACTTAGTGACTTCCCGGTAGAAATCAAAGCACGAGTGGGTGGGGACTTTCTAAAGCAGAAGCAGCGTATTCATTACCTTGAGGCGTTGCACTATGCTTGTCGGTAAGGTCACCCAGCTTTGATCACCTTCTGTTTTATTAGGCAGAAACCGGATTGGTTATCTGACTCAGCCTATCTCAGGCTAGTTTGCCAAGGCAGTCATTAATGAGCGCTCGGGTGAATAATCGTTTTTGCACTTTTGAAACTTCCGTCGCAATGTCGAATATGTCCCCACTTTTTTCTTTATGTACTCGCGGATTTCTCCGTGTGCCAGAACTAAATCAGACAAACTCCTGACATTCCACGTGGTAGCCCAGCGCTAGGAAGGTGTGCTCAGTAAGTTGCGATCTCAAGGTGCGTCAGAGGTTGTGTAACAAGGATGATATCGGGCCAAATGAGTCTTTTTCGCTTAGAGGGCGCAGCTCCAGGTTTCTGTTTTACCCCCTCCTGGCCGCAGTATGCATTCGCCTAAAAGTGTTATAGTTCATCTGGTCGTCTTCTAATCCCCCACCTTTGCGCTAACATTAGTTACAAAGGCAGACCGCAAGATCGAGCTCCAGTTTCTCCACACCTCTTTGTTGGGTATGACTGGCTGACGATGGCTAATAAGCCAGAAACGGCCATTCTGGTCTCCCTTGTTTTTGTCGGTAATGTTACTCTGCTTATACGTATATTAGAAGGTCGGCATTCGCAGAAATAAAATTTAAAGTCAAATGTGTTCTTCGAATAAAACAAGAAACTATCTGATAAACTGCTGAATCCTGTTTCCTGAGTCGTCGTCAGACTTGGGGCAAATGCCCAAAAGATGTTAAGATTTCGAACGTGCTTAAAAAACCAATACTTTATGACGTTTGTAGCGATAAGCGGCAATTGTGTGCTGTCCTGACTTGATTCGTTCTCATCTCATCTCTCTTTGAGATTTGTGTACATGACATCCAGCTCAATATTACGATTGATGCATGACTCGTCTGAGCCCATGACTCGAAGAACTTTTAGGGTTCTTTGGAAGGGCAGAAGCCAACGATGTGTGTTTAGTTCAAAACCTAGCTGTGCGCCCTATCGATGATATGCATGGCCAAATAGGGCAAATTCTCTCGTCTGTATACTGCCATTTAATTGTTGTGTGTGCATGAAGAAGGGAAGTCCGCAGTTTGACGACAGTGAAATGCATGGCAGACATTTCGCGGGATCTCGTAGACCACGTTCTACTTATCCATCCGGCCAATCTTATCATTAATGTGTACGAGCTGACTGCGTAATTTAGTTTGCGATTCGTACGCCACTTCAAGGAGTTGTACTTCAAGGAGTTCGGACGTATTCCTACTGTAATGAATGGTTCCTCAGGTATTTGGTTTAGGTGCCTTTTCTTCTAACGCAAAAAATTAAAACAGGTAATTTAGTTTGACTCGGTAGCTCTCCTTGTCAGAACAATGCTCTTTCGCTCGATAAAGCAGGCTGTTGACAGCGCTTCGTTTGTAAGAGGAATGCTTGTTGTTCTCATAATTTAGAACGAGTTCTGCGCAGGTTTTTTGCGGTAAACGCATGTCCGTAATATTTGGTCAGCTCTTCGCTGTTCTTGGCCATCTACAAATGAGAGTCTATTGTAAACTCCTTTTTCCAATGTGAATTTAAATCTCAGAATTCTTGACTTGTGAAGAAGAAGAAGAAGAGTCGAGCACCGGAACACTTCGTTTATTATCCTGAGCTTTCAGACTCGTACAGGAGTACCTCGTCAGAGGTAGTGGCAGAAACAGGACGAGCGGCAATTATAAGGCACGTAGGCCCAAGCATCGACCGACGTCGCACGACTGGAGGTGACTACGAAGGGCTCTGTACGCCGACGCCAGATCGATAAATCGATTGACCGAGCTCTCATCCGAGGCCCAGGCTTCAATCAATTCTCGGCCTGTTTTGTTTCCGGCGTGGGCAACTATTTTGGTGGCTGCAAAGTCAAACTCGTGACCCATTTCGTAGGTGTGGGCGGCCACATGTGATAATGCGTTGCCTCGCCGCACAGCCAGCTTATGTTCGTGTATGCGCGATCCGAGCATGCGTGCAGTCTGTCCTGTATAGATACAAGGACAATTTTGACACGGAATACGATACACTACTCCAGATTGCTCTTCAGGTTTTAACCGGTCTTTGATTTTCATTACTCTGCTGCGCTGGATGGCTTTGGGGCGGTGTGCAACTCCAATACCTAGCTCCGCAGCAATGCGCTCTGAAACACCCTCGATGTATGGCCGAAAATGCCATATCGTCGGTGACGTTGATGTTCGAGTTCTCTGGTGGCGACCGCGTAGGCAGCGACTTATGAATGCCCTCGGATAGCCATTTTGCACAAACTGGTCACGGAGATAACGGGCCTCACGTGCTCTGTCCTCCGGTTTGCTGCAATGACTTGACTTGACTTGGTTATGTCATGGAGTGTCTCCAGCTGATCCTTTACCGACAACAAAGGTGTCTACGCGTGTTGTTCTACACTTTTTCCCCAGATGGTCTTTTTGGGTGTGTTCTGCTAGCTAATTATCAACTCTAGCCCACGTGAGATTCCAGTCCTAGTTCATTCGTCCAGGTGGTTGATTCCTCCAATATACCGTCAAAATATAGTACGAAATGCCATGATTCGGGTTTCCATTCCGTCCTTGCATCATCCATTGGTCCATTGCAGGCGGGTCAGGCGTGTATGACAGGCGTAAACGGGCTTTTGGCTTTGTCAACCACTGCGTCGGTCCAGCCTTCTTGACCCCGTCTTAACATCGTGCCTAAGTGGATGAGGGAGGAGACGGTGTGGTAGATACAGCAAAAGTCTACTATCATCATAAACTAATTACCGCGCAAGTCGGCCTCCCTGCGCCCCCACCCTGTTGTTCGACACGCGGCGGACTTCGTTGGAATTGACGGCCAAACTTTTTCATGCCCCCCCCATTGGTCTTTCGCTCAAGCGCCTCCACAAACTCACAGGATTTATATCTGTTGAAAGCACATACCCAAAAACTTGTGTAAAATTGTTTTGTTGTTGATTTCTGTTCTTAGGCGCACCCCACCGCATGTTCTGGGTTCCCGTCTTCAGTGTTCCCCGAGCCGTGTATTCCGCCTGCAATGCACCAAGATGATCCGCAGAGAAGGGTGCTACCCCCGCACCACCAAATGTTAAACTTCCAAGTTGTGAGCAGTCGTTTCGGCTATCCCAATATGAGTATGGCATCAACATCACCCTATGAGACGGCACCTCCGTTCTATGTCGGTGGCGACGGAGTCCCCTGGCCCATGGAGACTCCCGGTGACATTTGTCCTCCACCAGCACCGTTTGCCTTTAATCACATGCCACCCGCCGCCCTCTCCTGTTCTTCCTCATCCTCCTCCTCCTCTTCCTCCGCGGCCGCCTCCTCCCATCAGACCATCGGGGCGGGCCTCATCAAACGCAAATCCAAACGCAGTCCCGTCTCCAAGCTCATGACCTTGAAAAACAGCCCCCGAACCAATCGCGCTGCAGCACCACCCTCCGCCGGTGCAGCGGCGGCTGCAGCAGCGGCTGCAGCAGTCGCTGCAGCCTCCGCACTGACTACCGTGATCCGAGATTGTGCTTCCGCAGGTTCGCATTCCTCCCTTTCGGCCGGTAATCCCTCCTCTATTGGCGGCGATGATGTGAGCCCCGGGGACTCCAATGAGGTCACAAAGAAGTGCAAGGTCTGCGGAGACCGAGCGGTGAACCACAATTTTGGCCAGCTCACCTGCGAGTCCTGCAAGGCCTTCTTCCGCCGTAATGCGCACAAGGTCAGCCTCTTTTAGGCCCATGCTCCTTTTTCGCTACGTTTGGCGCAATCTTTTGCCCGGCGAGAGTGGCTCTTGGAGGGTTTAAATTCTTCTGCTTTGATAGCTGCACAAGTGTCGCTACTTTTAACTGTCCTCGCTGTCTCTCTCTCTCGCAGTTTCATGACGGTCCTTTCAAGACATGGGGAGAATAATAAAACCTCTCTGGCAGCCAACAACTGAGCAGGCGCTTCGTAAGGGCCAGCGGTAAGGGGCGGGGGAGGCAGGTCTCTGCCCATATACCACTGCGGGGGACGGATGTCTTTTGCTATTTGTAAGGGCTACAAAAACTGCGTTAACTCCCCATCCATCACGCACACTGTGTTCCATGACGAGCCATAACCCGACTGATGCACGGAACCTGGACAGCTTGACGGACTTTTGCAGATGGGCGTGGCCATGACTAGTTCTGGAGACAAGAAGTAAGAGAGGATCCATCTTTAGTCTGTTTCTCAGTTTTGTTCTGTTGATTTTCATCGGTGTTAGTTGGCAAGTTGGGCTAGAACCATGAGCTTTTCGAGTTATGGACGTAAAAGATATTATTCTGGTTGGCTTTTCCAAAATTGCGGAAAATGGATCCGGGTAATCGGCTCCCGACTCCCCGGACACCAAAAGGCTTTTTCGTTTAGCCTATCATTCGACTCTAACTTCTGTTCTAAAGTGAATGACAGCTCTGAGCCCACGGGTTGCACAATTGCACCCAAGCAGGTTGTTGCTTTAAGAGGCGTCTCCAGCCCAGTCCACACTTTATCCCCAAGCCTCCTCCCCTGTGAAATGTAGCTCGAGGTCACCTGTACTACAAAGACCTTGCATTTCCGTTCCCTACCAACTCGATGCAAACTTTCGTCTGTTGGGGGAAGCATTTTTCGATTATTCATCGGTGTTATGGCAGATTTCAAATAGGTCACTTTAACCCAACTATGAAAAATTTGGTGCCTCGATTGGATTCGAACCCACGACAGGAAGGGGAGACTTTAGTACAGCCAACGATCTAACCATCCGAGCTACGAGACCCTACCGGACAAAGAGAGTCTGGTAGTCATCTAATGGATTTTAGATGTATTACTTAGGAAATTCTGCTTGGGCAGTCGGCTTACTGTATTAGATTTGGTGGTACCAGACGTGGCAGTAAGTTGTGTGGGTAAACTTGACTCAGATGTGATTAAACTCGCGTTGCCCGATGGGGCCTCGTAGCTCAGATGGTCAGAGCGTTGGCTGAACTAAAGCCTCCCCTTGCTGTCGTGGGGTCGAATCCCACCGAGACACTGCGTTTCTCACAGTTGGATCAAAGCGAGTGTTTCGATTAGTCACATCACACGTCCGTCAAACAGTGTTCGTCTTGTGTCGCCCGCCTGGGCAGAACCGATTTCAGTCGATCCATAAATATGTTTTTTTAATAAGTAAATCCTGTCTGTGCTAATAGATGGAGTTGTTTTTTGTCGAAAAAGTGCACTTCTCAAGAATAAAAACTGTGGGACGTTTGACAACTTTACGAGGACACCCTTGTAGATCAGTTTCGCCTTCAAATACACATTATATATTGTTGGCATGGGGGGAGGGATTATGGCGCGTAAGAATGCGTCTCATCCTGCCTTTTTTTTAATTTCCGAGGAAATTAATGCACAAACTCGGAGTAAATCCTTCGGAATATGCCTTTTCAGGTTCTGTCCAAAAGTTGTTGTGAATTTCTGAACTAAAATCCATCAGTTACTGCGGTACGACTGCGGAATATTCACAAGCTGCCAACAGGCAGCTAGTAGTATACGACTGCGTAATTAATTGCCATACCGACGGCACAGATACTAGCTAAAAGCCCAGACACGCGTGCTTCGCCGATCTTGTGCGGCCGGCTGACGCAGATGCAAAGGGTTGGGCTCACCAGTGGGTTCCTCAGCCTTCCTCATGTGTTTTCTGGAAATCCAGTTGCATCCTGCCTTGTTTAATTTCTGAAGGATTTTCTCCAAGTTCCTGCCCTAATTTCCTCGAAAATTAAACGAGGCAGAGAAAAACTAAAGTTCATACATTATAAAACATAGGGGAACGCTGGGGGACCCAGTAGGAATGATTAATCAATATAAATTTTTCAACCAAGATTAAATTTTTAACTGTTTCACACATTTAGTGCATGTTTGGCTATCCTGGGAACCACCGTCGAAAATTTGCATCATAAAATTTGGTACTATTTCCAGAAGAACTTATTTCGTTCGAATATATAAACGACGACAGCGAATGCGGGTAGATTGATAGAGTACTGTTTCAGTCTTATTCAACCTTCATTCAGCCAATCACAACCCTGACCACCAGCGGGGACAAACATTTGCTCGTGCATGGCCCACAGACCCGGTAGAGCAGATGGGTTTTAAGCTCTTTAAGTTCTTTCCTAACACACCGAATCTGCCCATCGGTCACTGGCACACATCAGCCAACTTTTACGGTCTGGGTGCTCCTAACGTTTACGATCTTTGTGCCAACATCTGGGCTTTTAGTGTCTCACTAAACGTCCCCCCGGATTGCTGTTGTTATTCGGCTTGGATGGCTCCACTTGTCTGTCAGCACAGTCAGGCTTCTTTTTAAGTGCATGTATGCGTGTGCGAGAGCGTAGATAACATGCGTCCGTGGACATGTGTCCCTAACTAAAGGGGAGGGGGGGGGAGTTAGGTGCGGCTGGCTTGTCTTAGCGCGCGAGTTGGAGCTGGAAGATGTCATTCGTGGAGCATAATTGGTAGCGTCAATCCTTCCCCCTCCCCCCCCCTGCGATGCAGGCCTGGTACCCGACCTTCATACCTGGCTTTTCTGTCTGTCCCTCCCCTGTCATGCGTATTCAAAACCCGTAGACTCTCTGCTGAAATTCTTAACTGCGCCAATGATTTGACCTGACAGCAAGACAGAATACGGCGTAGCTAGTTTTGTTTTGCAGTCGGTTGCATAGCGACGGACAAGTAGTAGTGCTGCCAAAGCAAACGAGAGCGGACTCGCGGCTTCTGGCTTATATTTGCGATTTATGGTCTGTCATATCATGAAACGCAGCCGGACAGAGCCGAGACTTGAACCCGATTGCAGATGGCCGTGAAGTGAGGTTCAAGAATCAGGATGGAACGCCTGTATTCCATCCTGAATTCGTGATAAACCAGTCAAGGTGACTTTTACTACTCCCGACTCCATGGCCAAATGTGTTCGGATTCAACCCTCGGGGTCTCTCAGTCAATGTTTTGGGTGCGGTTGGCTGATGATATTTAAGTCGCCGGAAACGACCTTTTCAGTTTCTCGCCTGTTTCTGGTATTAAGCCTAAACAGAGACGACAAAAGTGGGACAATGGCTCGAGTAAGTTTATTGCATCATGGCACACCAGCTTGAAGTGTCAGCTCTACCTTGGCGGTTTTGTCGAATGTGCTTAACCGTGTGGGCTTGAGTCTGTGCGTGGCACATGTTTGATGGAAGTCTACACCACCTCAGCTGCTGTCTTCATCCCCTTCAGTAATCGGTCTACAAGGCATCGGTGTATATGAGATGACAAAAATCATAAAGCCAATACTGAGGCACACTTCCTCGTGTTCACTCAGTGTGTTAGCATAGAGGGTTGGAACCGACGTATAATGCGTTCCACTCACGGCTGAGAGTCAGGCCGCAGAGGCGGGGTGGCACGCGCAGACGGGTCATTTGACTTCGTCAGACACTCCATGCGCACACCCATTTCCAATGGTCTTGTCTTTTTCTTCTGTCAGTCTGCCGATTTTGAGAGGTGGGGACGAGGTAGATACCGCGAAAGTCACCACTGGTAGAGGGGCGGTCCACGGGACTCGTTGTGCCTTACGGGCTCTATCTCTCGAACCCAATCAGCAGCCGCACAGGGGCGCATGATATAGGCAGATTGTTATTTCCGACAAAGACAAGGGAGACTGGAATGGTCATTTCTGGCTTATTAGCCGTCGTCAGCCAGTCATACCCAACCCCGAAGTGTGGAACACCTGGGGCTCGAATTGGTTGGGCTGGGCTGCTGATTGGGCTTGAGAGAGAGAGCCCTTAAGACACATCGAAACGAGTGAGTTCCGTAGAATCGATCGGTGATGCTCCCCTCTACTATTGTATATTCCCAATCCAAACTGGCAGGACAACGGGCCCGTGGCCCAGTGGTTAGAGACGTTGGGCTTTAAACTAACAGGTCGCGAGTTCGAGCCCCAGGTGTTCCCCTCTTCGGGGTTGGATGTGACTGGCTGACGACGGCTAATAAGCCAGAAATGGCCATTCCAGTCTCCATTGTCTGTTTCCGTAATAAAATTCTGCCTAAACTCACCACTGCACATTCATCGGAATGGTAGTAGTCTTCGTGTTTTGCGACAAATTAAGTATCGTATATTCGAGCAGTGCACCTTGTCCAGACGAAAGTTTCACCTCACATCAACCATTGCGTTCGATTTCAATACCGGCGAGTCAGATGCTACGAAAGTAACCAATGCAGGCTCTCGGGAACAAGGGGGCATCTTCGTCGCTTATGGCTAATTAACTGTTTTCTCTTTGGCGTGGGTGGCATGCACAGATGAAGGCATCACTTCATGTCAAGCGTTGCAGTCGATGCCGACCGAGGGGTACGTTGGAGCGGACAGCGGGGATGTGGCCTAGAAGGCCGAGGAGTTATGGATTAGATCAGTCCCCCAACGAACTAAAGGGTAGTTTTGTCCACCGCTTAATGTAACCGACACGCCTTATTTGGTCCGGCCAATGTGCCTGTAAGGAATAGCGCCTGTTAGGTACACTCAGACGCGGATTCAATCTCGTAAGCTTCAAAATCTAGAAAAAGACGGACAGTTTTTCACATTTAAAAATTAGTATGTTTATGTGAATTTCGTTGATCAAAGAAAGTCTGCCCCTCGTGCTTGTTAGATGAAATTTATGTGCTAGGCGATAACGCCAGTATACTATGGTTTTAAGGCCACCCGGTACCGAGGCATAGATTGGTGTGCTTTTTCATATCTCAACAAAT